TTGTTTCCACGAAAATATAAGAAAGATGTGTATTTTTTTAACTCACTGCTGGAGATAAATGGAATATAAAAGTTAAATATCTGCTGAAAAGTCGAAGAGAAATGATTTTGTTTTATTCAAAACATAAATTTTCATTTCAGCAATAAACAAGAACTAATCTAATTATCAAATAGTCACGTCGATTCACAGAATAGTGCGCTGTAATTCTTTTGCCAGCCGAGTTGGTGTAAACAATAAAACCACATCAAACTAATACACAATGCTATCGAGTGATTCAACTGAGAAGCATTTCAGCGAGAAGTATTGAAGGTAGAGATCTTTACTTGAACGAAATCATATCCCACTTCAGTGAGCAAGTCACCTCATTGACTGATGAAATTAATTGGAGGTTTCAGTAAGTGCCATGGAGTCTGCAGCAATAATAACGAAGTTTATTTTGTCACAAATTTACTAGTTTTACATGTGACTAACACGGGAAAGTTTCGGCTGAATATGAACTTTGGACTCTCTTTCATAGCAGAGGAAACAAACAAGCTGCTAATGAGAAGCAAAATGTTCCCATTCTCTTTTTCAACCCTGGCAAACACACAATAGTTATAGAACAGCAGACAACATTTCTTGAATCAAGCTAGGGAAGATTCGAGAAGATACACAGTCACAGTAGCGTTCTTTGCACTAAAAAAGGAGAACTGACGTTACCTGAAATATAACTGCTATCCCCAACCAAAATGAGAGTGTGATATCACTCATTACAAAAAATTAAAAAAAGCCTGCCTCTGAACTCGAGAATGGAGTTTATCACACTAGCAATGCTAGAACACATGCGTCTTACATGTTATGTTCTACCACGGGGGAAAGCACTCAACATTCATGGGTAGTCCTGTATGAAATGTATCTTTCACCTAACATACAGTTGACTTTGATGCTAACTAATTTGCGCATGCATTTGGAGCAAATTGCTTTCGTTCTTAAGGACCCATTAACCGATTTATGCGCACACTCGTGCGCATTGCTGAGGTGAAATTTCACTTCCAGTTACTTACGTCAGCCTGAGCGTGGAAAAAAAAAACTGAATAACTTGCAAATTTGTTTACGTTTAAGATGTTTTTTCTTTGTGTTTCACAAAATGCATAGTAGAAAAAGTACAAGCAAAGACAAAATAAGAGAAAAACAGAGAAACGAGCAATAGAAAGAAGAAAACTAACTCCGTGTGGCTTTGTTTGATCTTACCGAAGTGCGCTGGTAGTGTAAATTGTGCACGCGCTGATAGGGTAACTTCCAATTTATATATCGGGTGCACTTCCAGTTTCTTTAAATGTTAAAGGAAACACGGTTTTTCACTAAATCCGGTCTTTTTCGACGGATTTCAATCAAAGCCAACGTTGGAAACATAGTTATGCATTCCTTTTCCAAAATCATGCTTTTTTTCAGAAAATTACGAATTTTTTTTTAAATTTTGAAATTCTCTAAAAATCTGACGTTTTAGAAATGAAACAAAATCTATGCATAGCTTAATGAGGATTTAAATTAAGATATTAAATCAATGAAAAAAATCCTGATAAAGTAATTTGCCTGGGAGCCTTTGCGTTTTTTCAGTATTAGTCACCTGACCATAGACGTGGCCTGATGACGTCATCACCAGTGTTACTGATCATGAAAAAGTTAAAACACATGAAATAACTCTGAACTAACCAAAAATGATGAGGATATATGAGAATAAATTTTCCTTAGCAATGGCTCGAAGAGATCAGTTAATGGGCCCTTAAGACAATGGCACCACAATGATAGCATGAGATTTGCAAAACCATATAGACATTTTTGTCATGTTATCAAAGAAAGCAACGCAAGTATGACAGGTTTTGCGGAATGCGCTCGGGTACCTACCCCACCCAGCTCCCCTTCCCACAAGGCTAATTGATTAATTGAAAGTAATTTAAAATTAAACAAACATTAAAGTTTACACCTTACTGTGTTGTTACTTTAGCCTACAACAACCCCCTAAATCATCCCAATAGTGCACTCTGCACTAAAAAGTAAGCTTACAACTCACTTGGAGTGTTTCATTAAACCAAGTCAAAGGCTAACTTGGGCAATGAAAAGTGTGAAAAACTTTCTAAATAGCAGTTTTCGTGCTTAAGCTTACCTTTGGTATGACTCTTGCATTATCTAGGAAGTTCTATTTGCCAGCGTTGTTTAAAACGTGGTCTCTATTTCAGTGTTTTGCAGCAGCTGAAGCTATTTTCCTTGCACCCAAATCCAACCAAACGAAGAAAAATACGTTTCAAAACTCGTGTGATATCATAAATGGCGTCTCCGTCATAGCTTTGGCGTCAAAATATGTTCAAATAAATGAAAACCGAGAGCTTCATCCACCATGTTGGATTCTCTTTCGCTCCCAGCTTTCCCCGTTTCTTGTTGTTGACGGAAGCGAACGCGTCACGGGAAAAATTGGCGGGAAGACAGTTAAACGGGAAACTTACGCGGGATCACGTTCAATTAAGTTTTACCTTTCTCTTTTTTTTTTTCTGGTTTTGGTGGAGGGCGACGCACAGACGGGTGAACAGACCAAGGCAGTCGGGGAGTCTTTGACATTAATGCTGAACTCGCTAGTCGTTGGAAGAATACGGCTAACGGGTTCAGTATTCAAATATCAATTCGTAACGATTAGCAGGTCAGTCAACATTTGAATAATCAGTTCATTATTTAATGTAATCTTGAACAGACTATAGGCTTTAATATTCAAATAATCAAATCATTCATTGTTATCTTGAGGGGTACGCTTCACTTGGTTTGACTGCAATGGCTACTGCACATTCTCGTCTCCATTAGCCCTTTTCGCTTCTTTTAGACTCTTAGATAATTCCCCAAGCCCCCATTGCAAGCTAGTTTCAGTCTAATACCGAGAATACCATCACGGTCTATTTCAACCCGAAAAGCCCTGGGAACAAGGTTGGAAAAAAATCCATCTGGGAAGGCTCAACACACGAAATCACGAGTTCAACGTTCAGTGCAGGCATATTAAGACCATTTAGAAACCCTCCTCTTAGGGATTCTTCCTTGTTAGGCTTGCCAGGAGACCCCGAGAGAAAGAGCAGTTGAGGCGAGTGTGGAAATCATAACCCTACCCTGTAAAAGACATAAGCCATATTTGTATCCTGGATATTGGACTGAGACTTAACTAGCTTACAACTGAGGCTAATGTTGAATCTTTTCAAATGCTAATGATATTAATCTTTTTCAAATGATTTTCCCCTGCATGAGCCTCCCTTGCAGGCTAGTTCCAGTCTAATGCCAAGAATACGAATATGGCCTATTCCCTCAGAGATGGACCTACAGGGAATCATGGTAGCTATATTCATGAAAACAAGTTTCCAGTCCAAGACGATGAATACAACTACCATAATTCCTTGCTGTCACATTATTGAGGGAAC